ACAACGAAATGATAACCAACTATAATCATCTTGCTTACAATTTTTTTTAATTGTATTACTTAAAATCAATAAAAGAATCTTTGGAAAAAGTTTATGCTTCTTAATATTATTTCCCAAATTATAAACAAATACATTGAGAAAAGTATGAAAATAGGGCAGTTATTTTTGTAATAAATACTCTTAAAACTTGAACCACTTATTATTTTAATTATCTTCTTTTTTAAATATCCTCTCACGCCTTTTAATTAAATTGAAACAAAAATACAAATTCCAAAAGAAAATTTAAATTCTTTTACTTAATTTTTATATATCTCACATTTTTCCTAATTTAAATTAATTAGTTAAATTTTATGTTTAATTATGTTCTCAATCAATCTCTTGGTTGTTTGTTTTTTAATCAATGAAATTTTATTTTTTTCATATAACTTTCTCAAACATAATAATTGTCAATTGAGACAATAATAGTTATTTGTAAAATAGAAAATTGTAGTTTTACTCAGCCACTTACATTCTCATCAAATAAAATATTCGTGATTTATTTTTATTTTATTTTGTGTTATGTAGATTAGTTATTCTACATGGTTTTTAATAATTCTTATATACTAATTTTTTTTTTGTTGAGAGAGGTCATACTTACTAATTTGAGATTTAAGTTGCCAATTTATTTAATTTAAAACAAAAACTAAGAAAATAAAATATTTTAGAATTTGTTGCGCGTACGCTTTTAAAAAAACATATAAATACACATGAAAGAAATATATCACAAAGTTTATATTAAAAATAATTTATATTAAAAACAACATTAGATTAAAAAATATCTGTTTATATTTTAATATGTGTGTCAATTAAAAAAAGCGGACAAACGGTGGAAAGAAACGACGGAGGGACGGCGGAAGAAGAAGGAATGTCATATAAAAGAGAGTAAAACAACATTAATATATTGTGACTACTAAATTACATTATTTTGGGTAAATTGAGATATAACAGAGGAGTTTGTCATACATAAAAAAATACGTTGTTAATATTTTTGCACGTTAGCGCAATAAAAAAGCGGACAAACGGGCACGGAGTTATATCTAAATAATTATGTCTAATAACTGCAGAAAATTATAAAATATTTTTTTAATTATGTCTATTATGTATAAATAATTATGTCTTATATAGTATTTTCATGCCTTTTAGGTTTAATTGTCTTTTTTTTTAGTTAATGTGTATAAAATATAAATAGTGATTTTATATTTTTGTGTAAGAGTATTTATTACAAAAATAAATGCCTCATTTTCATACTTTTCTCAATGTATTTGTTTATAATTGGAGAAATAATATTAAGAAGCATAAAATTTTTCTAAAGATTTTTTTATTGATTTTAAGTAATAAAAAAAATTGTAAGCAAGATGATTATAGTTGGTTATCATTTCGTTGTAACTGCCAAAAAAATTATCACATGCAATTATCCATTGTAATATGGCTATTAACCAACTGTTTAAATTTGTAATATGGCTATTGTATCAGCAAAACCAACGTGATCCACAATGCAGGTTTTGTTTTATTTTAATTTAGTAAGTATCAAAAATTTATGGGATTACCCCGTTTTTGTTTCTAATTTATTATTAATTAATTAATTAAAAGTTTACTCAATAATTTTGAGTGTTAGAGTTAGTGGCTACATTTATTAATAAATGTTTTGGCTCAACGAAAGTGAAGGACAGATGAACGTGTGTATTCAGTTTTAAGTGTTAGTGGAAGCTGAGATTAATAAAATTGAGTTATAATTATTTTATTAATATTTATAAAATAACATGAATAAAATTAGAAAAAAGTAAAATGATATATAACATTAGATGATAAAAAAGTAAGAATCGTAAAAACAACAATAATAGAATTTTATACATGTATTTTGTGAATCTCTAAATTATTATTATATAAACTATATATTTTCATGAGAGAAAAAGAGAAAAATCCCTTAAAATTAAAGAATCAGATATTTGTATTCATCTTCTCATCTATCTTTTCTATAGATAATTTCTCCCACAATTTTTTTATTTATTCTAAAAATGTTTTTTATGATGCTTCAATATCTGCGGTATAAAACAATGTAACTAAGAATTATTAAATAACTGTAAATTGAGAAGAGAAAACAAATTATAAAAAAGAAAGAAAAAAATTGAGAGAGAATCACTACTTGAAATATGGATTACAGAGATAATTTCTCCCACAATTTTTTTATTTATTCTGAGAATGTTTTTTATGATGCTTCAATATCTGCGGTATAAAACAATGTAACTAAGAATTATTAAATAACTGTAAATTGAGAAGAGAAAACAAATTATAAAAAAGAAAGAAAAAATTGAGAGAATCACTACTTGAAATATGGATTACAGATAAAAATGCATAAGTTACTTATTTATTAAACAAACAAAATTTTATATAAGTGTTAATGGGTAACGACAGTTATTTTAAGAAAGTGATTTCTATTAATGTATTAAGGATTTAGATGGTCAATGAGTTTAGATAAAATATATAATTTAACCTTACAGCACTCAATTCTTCTAACTTCACGCAATTGAACAACGGAAAGCACCCAATTCTTCTAACTTCACGCAATTGAACAACGGAAAGCACCAAATTCTTCTAATTTCACGCAATTAAACAACTCCGTGTATTTTTCCCAATTGTGTCGTGTTACCTGAGATAACCTTTAAATAAAAGAAATCAGAATTAAAGAAAATTAAAGTTAAATTAGAGAAAATTAGAGAAGTTGTTACAAACATACTAAATATCAATATCTTCATGTCCACCATTTATCTCGACTTCCTTCTCTCTTTTCTCTTTTGTTCTTGATGAATGTTTTCTTTTCGTTATCTTAGTTCTCTTTTTTTTCTCTCTTTCTTCTTAAATAAATTATTAAATAAATGGGTTAAATGAGAATGAGAAGTTATTATTTTGATACAAGCTTTTTAACCGCCTATGTAGTTGATTTTAGTAAAGGGTGTTAATGGAATAATAGTGTGAATTATTGGACAAAATTGGAAAACAAAAAGCTACACCAAAACAATCTATTGCCTTTATATATTGTTTAAATGGAAATGAGAAGTTATTATTTTGATAGAAGTTTTTTAACCGCCTATGTAGTTGATTTTAGTAAAGGGTGTTAATGAAATAATAGTGTGAATTATTGGACAAAATTGGAAAACAAAAAGCTACACCAAAATAATCTATTGTCTTTATATATTGTATATTATCTATTATATTATATATTGAGGATGAAATGCTAGTGTAATAAGACCCGAAATATAAGCATGAATTAATTTCAATCTTGATGTTGCTCTCGAATACAAAAACAACACAGAAACCATCAGTGGAACTTCCATAGGACTTCTAATACAAACAATGACAAAGAAGTAAATTATTAACCACTCACAAACTATAAATTATGAAGAATCATTGGATGAAACATTAAATGAACATGTTTTTTTACTCTATAAATTTGTAGTTATGTTATGCATCCCACCTTGGGAGGTTTATATATAAAAATAAAAATAAAAAACCAACTCTAGGAGTTATGGAGTTACCACAATTCAAAATAATAAACCTTTGTGTAACCGCCGTTGTGAGGAAAAAAATAAAAATTTAAAATAAAAATTGAAAAGGGTAAATTTGGAAAGAAAAAAAGCTACACCAAAACAATCTATTGCCTTTATATATTGTTATAGATAAAAATAAAAAACCAACTCTAGGAGTTATGGAGTTACCACAATTCAAAATAACTACCATCATTTAATAAAAACTTCATTTTTTTATTTGTATTTTTGTTTTTAAAATTAACTAAAATTAAATTCTAAAGGATAAAATAGAAATAAAAATAGGTCAGTCTAAAATTCCAATTCCCTAGATAAATTATTTAATTTTAATTTAATTATAAACTATTTATAAAATAATTAAAGATAATGATATGAAAAATAATAAACTGTTGGCGGTTAATAAACCTTTGTGTAACCGCCGTTGTGAGGAAAAAAATTAAAATTTAAAATAAAAATTGAAAAGGGTAAATTTGGAAAGAAAGAAAAAATGCTACACCAAAACAATCTATTGCCTTTATATATTGTTATAGATTAATTAATTTTTTATATTTTATTAATCAATTTTGTTTCACTATTTTAAAATCACTGTTGACGAATACTATTTACGCACTGTTCACACACTGTTTATAAAAAATATTTTTTTATTTAAAAAATATCATTTATCATATAAATACGATGAATATTATATATATATATATATATATATATATATATATATATATATATATATATATATATATATATATATATATATATATATATATATATATATATATATATATATATATATATATATATATATATATATATATATATATATATATATATATATATATATATATATTTCACATAAAAAGTGGCGTAGAAATAACATGACTATATATTTAATAAGTGGAAGTAACCCAAAACAACCAATTAAAAAATATAGTGATATAATTTAGTAGAGAGGTGGTGTGGATAGCAAAACAAACTGTGTAATAAGTGTTAAATTATGTATTGGGTCGTGGAAGGATGATCCCATAATCCCATTTCGCATCGAAAAGGCATTTTCCCTGTTGCTGTTAATCAACTACTCGTATACTGATCCTATACTCAACAACAACGCGAAGATTCATTCATGTAACACATGTTCCATACCGTCATAATTCAAATTTCCTTCAAATTCTTTATATTTTCCTACCGTCGGACTCATCATCATCTTCATCATCAATTTCAACTTCAACCTCAACCTCTAGTTAATTAATTAATCGAAATCCAACTGTTCTCGGTTGTTTCAATAACACTCTTTCTCTCTCATCGCGATCTTTCGAAAACCCTACTCTCTCTCTCTGAAGCTGCTCGTGTGTGGATCGAGCAGTTTCAATTTCGATTCATGATGAATTGTAGTGTCCTCAATTTCGTCTCTTGATTCTCATAACCATGTGGTTTTCCTTCTGGAGATCCAAAGATCGTTTTTCCTTGGATCAACTTAGGTAAATTTCCGTTCACAATTACCTTAATTTATCATTTCTTCTCAATTTTCCTCAATGCCGCATAATTGATAAATTGTTCAATAAGTAAATAAATAATCTGCGTTCTGTTGATTTTGTTTTGCATTGTTGTAATTCAAAGTTTAATTTATATAATAAATAGTGAAAAAATGGTAGATATATGTGCTTAACGATGATATAGCTGTTAAGATATTATGAACTGATTACTTAGGAGCTAATATGTCTCGGAAACCTCTAAGAGTTTTGCTTTGGTAAAATATGCACTAGGGGTCTTATTTGTATTGATCAACCAGCCTTACATATTGTCTCTAATTCCGAGTGTGTTTCGTTCTGCAGTAACGAGAATTAATTCTGACTGAATTGATTTTGTAAAATTGATTCGGGTTAAAAGTGAGTTGAATGTAAAGATATTTCTGTTTGGATACATTTATGTAAAAGTGAGTTGAACAACAACTTTCAATGTAAAAATCACGTTTAAACTCAAGTAGAAACAATTCTGAGGGCAGAATCAATTCTATTTTAGAGGAACCAAACACCTCAATCGTTTCAAAATCAATTCTATCCCTCAAGAATTGTTTTTGTCTCTTTCAAAAGCCAAACCAAACACACACGGAATCTTTCATGAGAAACTTGTGTCTGGCGAGATTGATACTTCTTTTGTTGGTTCTACTAATGATCAATTGGTGGACATTTTCACAATTTGAGGACCAAGGATACCTTGCATTTGTGAAAAGCTTGATGCCTACAATCTTTATGCTTTAGCTTGAGGAAGAGTGTTGAGAGATATATGCTGATTTAATTCTTTATTGTTAAGATATACTCTTCCTCGTATATAATATAGTTTTATTAGGATTTATATTATGATTGATGTTGTAGCCCGATTTATTCCCTTAATTATGGGGTTCTCCCTGTACAATTTTCATTATAAATAATATCAATCTCTAAAGCTATTCAGTACCAAAACTTTATTATCAAGTTAGTGAGTAATTGAGTAAACTTCATTGATGTTCTGTTTTGTTTATTCACTGTTACCCTGCTGACTTGTGTTGTTTAGGTACCTAGCTGATCAGTTAACAAAAGTTCATATAGTTAATGAGGTTAATAAGGTAATAAAAACTCTAGCTATGATTAGAACTTTTTGACTTTTTTCTGTGTTTCTTCAACTTCTCTATTGTATTATTTGTGAAGGATTTTGTTATTGAGGCACTGAGATCAATCGCGGAGTTGGTAACATATGGTGACCAACACGACCCAAGCTTTTTTGAGTGAGATTCAGTTATGCTTATATTCCTTGGTATAACTGTTTTTATTATGGCAATTTATATATTCTAGCTTGTGGCAGATTTTTCATGGAAAATCAAGTTGTGGGGGATTTTGTTCGTGTTCTAAAACTTAGCAGGACTATTAGTATTCCACTTCAGTTGCTACAAACAGTTAGCATTATGATCCAAAACCTTCAAAGTGAACATGCTATATGTGAGTTGTTTGTCAAATGAAGTTCCCTTTTCCGCAGTTATATTATTTTCTACACTAGATATGTAACGATGTTGATGGGCTTTGTTTTCTTCTTTATTGTCACTTTTGCAGACTATATGCTTAGTAATGAACATATGAACTTCCTAATTACATATTCATTTGATTTCCGCAATGAAGAGCTGTTATCATACTACATATCTTTTTTAAGGTTGGTTTTAATGTATCCTTATCCTACCAGTGTACAGCAGTTGATGATTACTCTGCATAACCTTTGTTTTTTGCTTCCCTTTGGATAATTATGCTAACTTGTCCTTTAATATCTTATGGTCATCATTGAAGAGCAATAGGTGGAAAATTAAACAAGAATACTATTTCTTTGCTTGTGAAGACACACAATGTAAGTTTCTGCTTTCTGTCTTCTTGCTCTGATAATGATTTAGGTTATTAGCTTATAAGTAATTTGTAAGATGTTCTTCTGAGCACTTGGACTTCGTTATAGACTATAGCTGATCTCATGTTTATGGCTTAAAAGAGGTAGAGAAGATACTTAGTTTTGATTATTTTTAGTTGTATTCCTGCGGCTACAGAAGGTGGTTAATATAGGTTTTACTGTACTTTGAGAAGATTTTGAAATTTTATTGCATCAGGAAAAAAGAAGAAATGAAAGAAAGAAAAAATTAACGGTTCTTTTTCTCACTAAAAAATTAACAAATATATTAACAGTTTAAATTCAATTAAACTCTGATATTTTGTGCAGTCTTGAAAAATTGCTAGTCCTGTAAGCCAGGCACAGGCAGTCCAATCTTGTGAGATTTGTAATTTTATGGATCAATTAATAATTGAGCATCCCAGTCTTTCAAGGATAATTAATTTTAAATAATGTTTTTATTGGGTTGAAGATGTCAGATAAATATGCCTTTGTTTTTGAGATGCCAAAATGTATTTACCATACTTATCTGTGCATTTAGGATGAAGTAGTTTCCTTTCCACTATATGTTGAGGCGATACGCTTTGCCTTTCACGAGGAGAACATGATTCGGGCTGCTGTTCGTGCTGTGACCCTTAATGTTTACCATGGTGAGATTTTTGCTGTTTTTTGGAGGCTGTTTTATATACCTTTTCAATTTTTTTCTGAACTCGGTTATCTTATGATTAAAAATATTTTTTGTAATATTTTTGTCTACAATTTTCAGTTGGAGATCACTCTGTTAATAGATATATAACTAGCGCACCTCACACAGATTACTTCTCAAATCTGGTTTCTTTTTTTAAGAAGCAGTGTATGGATTTAAACAAACTGATCTCTGATACGCTGAAGTAAGACATACATATTTCTTATTTTGCATATTAAATTCAGATTTCCTTGTTCCTTAAAGAGAAATTATGGTTGCTGAGACAGAAATCCAGGCCCAGATTCAAAGGCTACCATTACGGCTGCTGTAGATGAAATTGAGGATAATCTATATTACTTTAGTGATGTGATCTCTGCGGGAATTCCTGATGTTGAAAGGTTAATAACAGACAGCTTTCTGACGCTTCTGATTTTTCCAGTACTTCTTCCTTCCCTAAGGATAGTGGCTGCTAATGTATGAAACTTACTTTACAGGTTTCTCTGTTTACTTCTGATTTATGCAATTCAGCATGATCTTATTAATGTTTAGGAGCATGTTGACCAGGATATACAAAGTGATGTTGTCACTTCTCTCTACTTACTTTGTTGCATCTTGAGGATAGTCAAGATCAAAGATTTGGCAAATACAATAGTTGCTGCACTTTATTACCCCTTAGAGTCCCTTACAAAATGTTTTGGGGGTCAAGTCAATGGAATGAGACCTGATCATGGTTTTACTTCTGAAGGCGACGGGATAGCTAATGATAATCTCGCCAAGAATAATAAAAAAGGCTTGGTAGTTGATGTTCCATGCTCACCTAGTTCTTCAGGTTTTCATCCACCGAGTATCACCATGCTAAATAATGGTAGCAGTTCAAATGTGGCTTTGAGGTATTAGTGAATCTTTTGGCGCGCTGATTTAATTTTGATTTTCTGTTGATATTCTTATGTTATATTAGGAAAAGTGATGTTCATTTTATTTTTTATTTTTTTGGGCACAATGATCTTCATATTTCTGCGCCTTTGGAACTGTGACACATTAGTAAATATATAACTGCGGCTGTCACAGTTGACAGATCGGCGATGTTTGATTATGATTGCTAGGTAGTCAATAGTGGGCTCAAGCGATGTTATTGTGGCGGCGAGTGGAAAGTAGAGGGAATTAGGGCTCCGGCCGCTCAGGGGGTTTTGCGGGGCCTGGGTGTGGGACAGTTTGTGTTCTGGATCGGATTCTGGATCTTCGTTTAATTTTTATTTTTTTGAGCACAATGATCTTCATATTTCCGCACCTTTGGAACCGTGACACATTAGTCAATATATAACTGTGGTTGTCACAGTTGACAGATCGACGGAGTTTGATTATGATTGCTAGGTAGTCAATAGTGGCCTCGAGCGATGCTATCGCTACGGCAAGCGGAAAGTTGAGCGAATTAGGGCTGCGGTCGCTTGGGGGGGGGGGGGGGGGGGGTTGCGGGCCATGGCCGTGGGACGGTTTGCGTTTTGGATCGGATTCTGGGCCGCGTTTCCTTTTTTGCTTAAAATTAAAACTTTCAAGAGTAATTTGGGGTTTCCCTCTAAATTTGAGTGATATTCCTCAAACTGTTTAACCGTAGCAGTTTTTCCTCAACTCTGCTCTGCTGTTCAAGCTTCATCTTCATCAGGTTCGTTTCCTCATCTTCCCTCTAGTTCGTTTCTTTTCCCTCTTTCTTTACCCTCTGTTTTTCCCTCATTTCCTTCTGTCTTTTCCCTCTGTTTTTTTCTCATTTCCTCTCCTTCTTTCTTTTTCCCTATGTTTTTTCTCATTTCCTTTCCTCCTTCCCTTCTAATGTTGGCTGGAGAAACTGTTGGGTTATTAATTTGAGGTAGAATATAAGCCAAGACTGGAAAATCAAGCTGCTGATGTATTGTCAAGGTGTCACAAGGAAAAGGAACAGCGTTGATATCTTACTCGAGTTGGCTGGATGGTGCCCAATAAATTCAGGAATCTCAGAGCGATGTGATAGAAACTGGTACAGGAAGTATTTGTGAATAACTGAATATTATTGATTAATCTTTGGAGAAAGGTTCCCAATCAGAGATGACTACATACATTTACACACGTTCCGACCAAGATTCAGAACTTGGCCTCTCTCCTTCCCAAATGTTTGAGAGTTGAGTCTCTCCCTTTCCAAATTCCGCTCTGAATTTCTAAGATAAAACTGCCCCTGCTCAGCGTTTTTCCTATTTATTGTTACACACCACCCAGAATAGAATAGGCATAAATAATTAGATAATTAATTACTGCTGACAGCAGTAACGCCCCATAACTGACAGTCACTGTCCCATTAAGTAACTTCCCCATAACTAACAGTAATTTTCCCATAACTGGAATAATCAGTTTTGCCTTTTCCTCTTATACACATTTCGAATAAGAGGTCTCATATAGGGTAAACAGTGGGATATCAAAGCGGAGTAGTTCTCGGCTCAGGGCGGTTTCTGGATCGCTAGCCTTTTCCTCTCTGAAAAACCAAAGTTACCCCTTAAATTTAAGTGTTTAGGGCTAAATTTGAGTTTTTTCAATCAAATTTGAGTAGAGAGGCGTCTCTCATCTCTCTCGGCACTTCGTTCTTTTAAAATTGTTTAGGGGTAATTTTGAGTTTTTTCTATCAAATTTGAGTTGAAAGTCCTCTCTCATCTCTCTCGGCACTTCGCTCTTCCCTCTTCCGTTGTCTCCTCCATCAGCTCCATTGTTTCATTATTTGATTATGAATATTTTATGGGTTTTAATTAAATATATGTTTATAATTATTATATGTAATTTGTCCAAAAATTATCAAATGACGGTCACCCCGCTATCCCACTTTTGGGGCCGGCTGCTCCATGCTGCTATCGGGATTGACTTCTCTGGTTATGCGACACTTGAAGTTCTGTGGCATTATTTTGTAATTCAAAGGGATTTTCTCTATTTCCTTTTGTGCATATGTTGGTTTCTATAAGAGAACTTCATAAGGCACTGGAGATTGCTGCAAGTGATGAAGCTGTACCTGAAAAGGTAATTAGACAGAGTTACTGTCAGGGAGTGTAGTTCCGTGAAGCAGAGCTTGATTAAGTTGAAAGACAGCTCAGCAGAAGGTGTTACATGGGAAGATGATGAAAATGTGCTGGGGCCTATCCTGATTTAGCCTTGAAAACAAAGCTATTCTTATATAAGGTGGTATTGATAGGAATGCGGTGGAAGATATGGGTCAGTCTGTATCAGTTAGAGAGAGTGTGCCCAAAATACGGATAGTCTATAGTAGGCACATCGCTACAGGGAAATAAAGGGGACTGAGCTGGCAAAAAACGTGGGAAGCAAATGATTAGTTAGTTATATAGGAGGGGAAGGGGGAGAGAGAGAGATAGAAAGGGAGGTAGGAAAGAATTTCTGTTATAGAAAGAGAGTGAGATCATCAAGATATTCTTGGTGATGGGAGCCTTAGGCTTTTGGGGTTATAAAATATATATTCTATCAGATTCTTCTTTTTCTAATCTGTGATTGTTGTCTTGTCACTGTTAATACAATTCACAGATTTTATCTGTTCTTTTGATAAACTGTCCTATTACACGATGTCTCTGATTGATGTAGGGAAGTTTTGCTTGAATATGTAACTAACGGGGCTGATTTACAAGTTTTTGGTTCCTTGAGTGTGCTTGCCACTCTGCTGCAAACTAAAGGTTGTACACGTGAATGTCTATTTGCTTCACCTTTGTACTTAGTTATGTTTTCTTGACATATATTGTTTTGCAGAACTTGACGAGTCAATGCTAGATGGGCTTGGAATTCTTCCACAACGCAAACAGCAAAAAAAGCTCTTATTGGTAAGTTGCACCTTCCCCATTCTGACCATTTTAAACTCTGAGCATTTTACTGTTGACTTTTGCTGCCCTGAGTCAATACAGTTACTCAGGTAGAGTTACCTTCATTACAACAGAATCCTCATTCAACATACAAGTTTATATGTTGTTCTAGTTAGGATCCTATCCTGCTTTCTCTATTTTAAAATTTGCTATTCTTGTTAAGTGTGACATTTAGTAATTTGATTTATTTGATTAAAATTTTCTTTAGCGTAACGATAGGTCTGCTATTGTTAATTAAGTAGTTGGTTAGTTAATTAGTTAATGAGTAGTTAATAGCTTTATGGAGAGATAATTAGGTCAAATAAGACATGCTGCCTATCAACAGATAGGAGGATTAGAGAGGGCAGCATCTTATCATTTGAGAGGAATAGGGCCTTTTGGAATTGGGAGGTAGGCAGACCCTCGAAGTGCTCCCATTGTTTGTAATTAAAGTGGACTCTTTCCCATTTTCAGTTATAATATACCATTTGGTTCTATCACATAGCTGCTTTGTGAACACTGTTGAAGATACCCGATTCCTCCCCAAGTACCATTTTTACTGTAATCTGTAATAAAAATAAAATGAAAAAAGATGTTAAGAATTACTGTTAATGGTCTTGATGGAACTGATTATTATCCACATAATTCTTGGATGCGATGTTCTATAAATGATGTTGTGGTGTTGGTGAAAGGCTCCATTCAAGACTGTGTGTTGGTGAGCTGTCTTGTGGATAGAACAAAAATGAGGAATATTTGTTGATGGACAGTAATAAAAATATAAATTGCTTGTAGAAATGAATTCGTCTCAATTAAGTTTTCGCCGGAAGCTTAAGTTATAAGGAAATAAAGTTTGGATATGTGAGAACTTGGTTTTTAAGTTGGTACTCTGCTCTCTTTGCTTGCTGGAAGAAACAATTGTAAAATTAGTGGAGGCTTAAAAAGATTGCTTAGGAAGGTTATTTCTGAATGGTTTATTAATTTTTTCCTCTTCTCTATTGAAAGAATTAGGGATCATTTCAGTAGGAGGAGGGGAAGTAGCTCAGTTTTATTCTAGTGAAGTGACTTGGTACTTATTTGATTTCCATTGCATGGTTGTGCAGCAAGCTTTGGTTGGTGAGGCTTCAGAGGAAGAACAACTTTTTTCTTCTGAAACTAGTTTGACAAGAGATGGCATTGCATGTGAGCTTGATGTTTATCTTGAAAAGATCAAGGTTTGCAATTTCCTCTGTTTTCCAGTGTTAGTTTGATGCATTTTTCCCCTACCATATAATTTTCACTTTTTCCTTCTTCGAGGTAAGATTAATTCTATCATGTTTATTAGTCTTACTAATTGGCTCAGCGATTAGATTTCAATAATATCTGATTATTATTTTCTCCTCTTGATTTATTTTATACGGAGGTATATAGATTACATTGTGTTTTATTGTGATATACTTCTTTATGAAAGGTATGTACAAATTAATATAGGAATGTTCATAAATAAGAAATCAACTATCCAAATAAAACAGTAGAATAGAGGATACTCGCCTAAATAGATTATATTTTACCTAAATAGATGATACTTTCCAACTGTAGACAGTAATTACATTTATTGGGCAATCCATTGTCAAGTACAATACAATGCTCCCAGCTAGGATACTAGTGTATATAGGGGTTTGGTAGTTGAATTTTTACTTCATCATTCAATTTATTCCTTATAAATTGTTGCATACAATTAACTGGTAAAAATACAATACACAAATACGATACATTTTCAACAATATTTTCTTGTACAGTCTGTACATCATCATATTCATAGATAGTAGATACAGATACTTACTAAATGGTTGTTTGATATTTTGAATCTATTCGTGATAATTTCTAATAGATTATATCTGAAATTATAGTAATAATTGATTCACTTATTACTATTGTAATGTATTTCTGGAGCAAACTATTATGTTTAGTTTCATTTTCTTCCTTGTTGATATTTATTAGATGTTTTGCTTGATGGTGACTTAGTTTTTGCGTATCATGTTTTACAGGAGCAATATGGGGTATGTTTTCAGCTTCCAAATGTGATACCAAGCCCTCGTGTACCTAGATTTCAGGTACATGTTTATATTTGATAGTCTTGTTGACATACTTTTTAGAAATAGTCAAATATACCTATTCTATATGGAAGTATCTGACTCCTTATTGGTAGTAATATCTTTCTTGATTTTGGTATTAGAAATTTAGCATCAACATATTTGACAATTACCATACAACCTAAACATCATGGTTGTCAAATTCCCTAGTAATCTCCGAATCATACAAGTTTACAACTCTAGGTATTGAGATCAAGTTAACTGCTGAGAAAATCGTTTGTGTAAACTTGGGTACACTTGCATAGTGAATATTTTCACATGGAATTGTGAGTTTGAGGACAATTGTATGAGTCTACAACATAGTAAATATTTCCCCTGGACATGCTAAGGCCCCGTTTGTTTTAGCTATTTCTAAAAATGATTTTTATAGTGTTACATATTTTTGTTAAAAACAAAATTTGCAAATAATTTTTTAATAATAGCTTCAATAAAAATTTGGTTTGAATAGTTGTTCTTAAAATGTTATTTTATGTTCTTAAAAAAAAATAGTGTTTTCTTTTTGAGCATGTCACCAATATTTGATACCGAGGTGGCCAGTAGCATTGCTGGTCAAAGGAACTAATAGATTGTATGTACTATAAAATATGTAGTTTACATATCAAAGGATCTGCTAGACTGAAAATGCTACTCGGATCATAATATGTGGTTGATTTTATAAATAAAAATGTAAGTACCTGCCTAACGTTAACAAATAAAATGAAGTTTGGAAGTTCACATCACATGTGAAGATTTGAACAAAAATAAGCACCTGCCTGATGTTCCTAGTTTGACCATTTAGTTTATGTGATGATTTTCTAGATTCTATAGGATAAAATTACAATGCTCTAGTAAATGGTCTTTATCATTTTTCCACTGTGACATGGCATTTTTCGATGGAAAGCCCATGCAATCTTATTTTATTATTTGATGTTTGAGTTTAGTAATTTAATAATTTATATGGGATGTATTTTTCAGGTGCTAGATGCATTAGTGAGCCTTTTTTGCCGTTCTAATATATCTGCAGAGACACTATGGGATGGTGGCTGGCTTTTACGCCAGTTGTTTCCTTACAGTGAGTCACAATTCAACAAGAACCACCTCAAATTGCTGAAAGTAAGAACATATGAGATTTCAGTAGTGACACCGACACTGCATACTGTTTACTTGGTGGAAGTCGAGTTATTTACTTAAGTATTAAAGCAATTTTCAGGCAGGAATGACTAGTGGTTCATGTGTCAATTTGTTTAATGTTTTGTTGTTCTTCCAGATATATAGCGTGCAAATACTTGTGTTTTATGATATTAATTGGTAGGAACTTGGGTGTTATGTGGTGCCTAAGTCCAGCATCAAGTAGTTGAATAACCTTGTTCTCCCCCCGTTGACAGCTATCTGTAAGGGGGTTATCCCTAAATTTTAGAAGGTTGATGTATATTATCCGGGAAAAAATGTTCCTTTATTTGCATACATAGTAGGTGTTTATGGCTTATAAGATGACCGCTTGCAGTGAAGCATTTGGACCAATGACAGATATGAAATAATTAATAGTTTTCTAATACATATATGGTTATTGACATGAAATTACCATATTCCCTTTTGATTATTGTGAATAATCAAATGAGTCTAATATCTGTGCTACGAGAATATCTTAATTTCAGTTGCATTTATTTTCCTTCCATTGCAGATTTCATACGAGAATTCTGCTTGTGCTCTTGAAAAGGAAGTTAAAGGTTTCTGGCCTGACCTTCTTATTACCGTTCTTTGTGATGAGTGGAGAAAGTGCAAAAGAGGTGATTTTAATATTTTGTTATTTTTAATGGATTTCTATGTTTGTGTGGCTTACTTTTGTGCTTGAATTATTTAACTTCCTAACTCCAGCAATGGAGTCCTCATCCCCTCCAAAAGAACCAAAGTGCATGCTTTTTCCGCCTAGGATGCTTTTTTCAGAAGGTAAGCATGTAATGTTATAGCTTTTCCAATACTTATTTATTTTCCTTGGCTTGTTGTCATGTTGAGAATAATAAGGTTTTTAATACTGTTTCTGTTGTTTCTACAGAAGATATACCTGAGGGATCATCATTTACTGCTGGAGAAAGAATGCACGAGTTGGTGAAGGTCTGCCTACACTTATTTATTTTTTTGTTGTATTCTTATAAAACTCCACTGGGCATAACATGTCGAACAGTTGGATTTTCCTCCATTCTGATTCTTCATAGATTGCATACCTTTATAATGAAGAACTTTACATTGGTTCCCCCTCTCTCTTGCAGGTATTTGTACTTCTGCACCAACTTCAGATATTCACTCACGGTAGGACTTTGCCTGAGCAACCTCTTATTTATCGTCCTTATGATCATCGTATGGATTCTCGTGCCCAGACTTCTGGTCTTGTGTCAGTCCCAAAGCCAGGCACTGAAATGAACCTTGGTAGGTGTTCTGAACTGCAATTTTGTGTATTCTCTCATGACTGATTCTGTTTATATTTAGGTTGTTTACCTAAATACTTATTTATAACTCTATGTATGCTATCAATGAGAGTTATTAGCCCCATATAGTGGCACGGCCTACCTAAAAATGACTGTGATAAAGCATATCAGGATGACTGTTATTCCGATTTTTTTATTCATATTCCATTCAATCTTATTCATAAGAAATAAAAGATTACATCACTAAGGAAGCACCTTCAAAACAGTCGATGCTAATTTTTAGTTAAAAAATACCCTTAACACATCAGATGAATCCCACTTTTGTAGGGGAAAATGAATCCAGGTAAAGTAAAACTCATGAAAAATATGAGATATAAAAGGAAATTTAATAACTAATACGCCTTAAGAGTGCGTTTGACAAAAAAACCTAATTGTTTATTTTCCACGTGCAGTTAATGCTGTGCCTTGTAGAATTGCTTTTGAGAGGGGCAAAGAGCGCCATTTTTGTTTTCTAGCAATCTCTGTAGGAACATCTGGTTGGCTTGTGCTTGCAGAAGAATTGCCTCTGAAGAAGCCCTTTGGAATTGTTCGGGTTGCTGCACCTTTGTCTGGGTGCAATGTATGTATAGTTGTCTGCTACCCTTGCATCTTAATCTTGAAACATGCCAGTTTTATTAGCTGAAAATTGTACAAGTTTATGTTGGTTTCCAATCAGAAAGAAGCCGTGAATGTAATTTTAATAAATTGAATGTTACAACTATTTTTAATTTGATCAGTAGTGTATAGTAATGTTACAATCATTTTTGTCCTCATTCTTTAGCCCAGGATTGACGATAAGCATTCAAAATGGTTGCACCTGCGGATCCGGCCTTCTGCTTTACCTTTTCTGGATCCTGTCAAGTACAGTCCACATGGGAAGTTAAAGACAAAAGCTTTTGTTGATGGAAGATGGATATTGGCGTTCAGGGATGAGGAGTCTTGCAAAACTGCTTTTCTCATGATTCTTGAAGAGATTAACTATCTATGCAACGAGGTTCATAGAAGAATAAAACCCTTGCTCAAGCTTGAAACCGTGCTAGACATATCAAGTTCGTCTGCTCCTGTTTCAGAGGATTCCTCTTCATATACAACACCTCCCAATTCATTGTAAGTTTTTGACTTAATTTATAATAATAGGCTGTTTACTCCAAGGGTGGGAAATTATTAAGTCTGTCACCCTTTTGTATATGCTCCGAAAATACATATACCATTTGTAGATTAGAAATTGTGGCTTAGTGTCATTCTTTTTGTATACTAGTCTTTCTTTTCTTGATTTGTAAATTTACCCTTTTGTTCCATTCTTTAGGAGCTCTAACTTAGGCCCCATATTTTTCTTTTATATTATACATTTGTAATCTCTGTATCAAATGTAAATTTGAGGGAACTCCGGAAAGAGTTTTTTTTCCTCCTTGTTCCGACAGTTTTTGTTGTTCTACTTGTTTTATTTCCAATTAATAGAATAGTGAAACATTTTTTCTTTTCCTTCTATTGTCCCGTGTGATCGTCTTTCTGTGTTTCCCAGTGCTAATGACCGGTACCTTAACCTCCCCATAGTTGATATTTGTTGACTGATGTGTACACAATCACTCATTTTCATTGTTTTCATTATTCGATTACAGTTAGTTCTACTGTACCGCTATATTCTAATTATATCTTATGATATATCATTACAATAAGTAGGGGTGGCAAAGCGGACGGTCCACCTCATTTAAGCCCGTCTAAAAACGGGACGGGGAGGGGCAGGCCAAATTAGTTGTCTGAGCTTAAAAGTCAAATCCGTCCTATTTACTAACGAGTTGGCGGGTTGCCGGATTTTTACAATTTGATTTGCTACATAATTTACAAAATTGTTAATCATTACTAAAGAGACCTACAAATTTTAACATTGTAGTAAAATTCTAACAGTCTTAATGTAAATTTCATATTCTTTATTATAAACAAACAACATAACAATAATACCAACGTAAGACACACACTAAAAATTTCAAAAATCAAAATTTTATTATCTTAATGAGAAACAAATCTCTATGTGTAAAATTTATCTTATAGCTTTAGAATGCAAAACTCTAAGGGTTCTATCTGACTATAATGATAATGAGTAATAGAAAATAGAAAAGAATGTATTTTCTATGTTTTGCAATAAAGATTTTTTTTTATTATGAGTGAAAATAAAGAAGCAGAGACTAATTAATGCTTTGTGATTATGTGAAAAATGAATATTAGAGTTTGAAGAAATGAGGGTTATTTTAAAAAGTATGTCTGATACAAACTACATTAATATTGTTCTAATTTCAAGAAAAAAAATAATTTTTTAAAACAAAAGTCTGTGGACAAAATCCGTCCCTCGCTGAAAATACCGAGCTGAAAACTTAAAATACCGAGCTGAAAATTTGTTTCAATCTGCTAAAAATGATAATGGGTGGGTCCAACTCATTTTGTCACCCCTCAATAAGTGTATGAAACAAGTTAAAAATAAAATCATCTGTGCACATTATTTCATGCCCACCTTACATATTAAATTACTACTATTTAATCCTGAACAGGAACTTTGGAATGAAAATGGAGCTCAACAAATTTAGTAGATAAAAGAAATGAACTATTGGGCAAATAAAGATTTAACTTATATTGTTTCTATTGTAGTGAGGTTAGTTTAAATGATGTTTTAATAAAATTTAAATAATATTATAAAGGGATAAAATAATGGATATTATAGTTTAAATGAATAGTATAATTGAAGATAAATTACAAATTTAAATCTTCAGCAAAAGGCGTTTTCACGTATTCAGAAGTATATTAAACATTTTGATTATATTGAGTCACAAAAATAGGCGAAATTTCTTTTTCCATACTTTGGTGTGGCTCACACCTCTAAAAATTCAAAATTGCTCTCAAGGGTTTTGAAGATACATCTTCGAACGCATATTTAATTATCTCATTTTTTGTAAATCAAGTAGTCACCGCAGCTTTGTTAAAAATTAGTCTAGAGACGCATTTGTGAAACTTTCTAGGGTGTATTCGATGATGCATTTATGAATATACCATTGAGTGCATTTTAAGCTATTTAAACAACATTATTTTAATCTCTGAAATCTTTCTTGCATGCATTTTGGGTAGAAACATTGTCATAAGTTTGTATTTTTTTGAATCATAAGTCACTTTAATATGACTAATAGTGCCATAAAATTGATTCAAACATTAATAAAAGCGAACATCATAGAACAAGGTAATGCATTAATAAAAAAATATCCCATAATATTACAAAAAATTATTCTAACAGTATGGAAAATAAAACTAAAACATCCCAAAATACAAAAAAAAAGTATAACTTACTACATATGTCTAATTCTAATAGTTGGCTCCTCCTCTGCCGCCGATAACCAAGACATTCAGTGACTCGATAAGAATGACACATGCGAGGGCAACCGCATCATCACCACCTCTTTCAAACAGCCCGAACTCTATGCCCTCATACGTAATCCGCATAATAGTTTAAAAAATCAACAACAAATAAATGACATGGTCATCCCTGACCTATTCATTCTCTAGGATCTCCTCATGAACAACCCTTGGTAGTCGTCCAAGGGTGTTTGGTGTTATGACAGGGTGTGACACACTATAGAACCAAGTCATGTAGTCGTACACATAAGACCATTGAATTGTGGTTGACATACTCCAATATTCCTCTGGTATGAGATGCCACTTGTAATCCGCCAGTATGTCATTAAGATGTCTGCAAACAATGCTGTTAGAAACAAACTCGAAGGGGAATTTAGGAATGATCTGCACAAATTCAAACCGACGAATGCGTCACTCCGACAAATACATGCACATCATATTCCTCCCACATACCAACCATCTAGAGTAAAATAAAAATGGGATTAAAGGCAACAATATTCCAGTGAGTGGTTTGTGGTGTCCAGTCGATATCATCTTGTTGAGTTCAGTCAATATACACACAGAACAACCGCCCAACATCATTCACTCTACGCGGGCAATACATGCAAACACGTGGCTAATCCTTTGTATATTCTATCACACGATCAAACCCGTGTACGCGGTGAAAGTGAGATATGATCCATCCCTGAAAATGAATAAGAAAAAAATATTAGTAACAAGTGTAAAAAAGTGCTTTTAAAATTAATAGTGGCTATGGAAATTATTGTCAGCAGGGTGCAAGAGCCATTCATTTGTCTTGTCGTCCAAAGAGGACCTTCGCTCAGTTTGGAGTATAGGTATACTAAACAGGCGGCTCCCAAATGCACTCGTGAATGGCCGACAAGTCGATAAAGTGCTTAAGGTATGCCATACCGATGTAGGTTACAATTTTGTCCAAACAATGGACGTGTCAACCAAGAATTTGAGGAAACACCTCAAAGCACACTCCCGGTGGTAGGTAACTTGTAGATCATCGTTGTCTAAATCCAAAATTTCTTCATAAAGCTTATTCAAGTATGAAATTTTGGCATGAGCACCTTTGTTCTCTCACACTACATTAGGGCATCCATTGGGTCATCTCCCAAAAAAATGACCATCATCTCATGGACTTCATCACGTTTGATCAATCAATGTTTTGGATTGATCCAACTTCAAACAAGATCAAGGATAATACATTGGAACAAGAATGAGTGCAATTTGAGGTGGTCACCCGGGGATTGAGAACAGTGCAATTTGAGATACCCGATTAGGGTTTTCGATTAAAAAAAGTCAACTATAGTTTGACTTTCGATTCAAAGAGTATTTCAATGGTGGGATCAAGGTCCATTAAGCTCCTATGGCTTAGTAAAGTCCATCCAAGGAGTTTCAAGTCCTCAGGATGTCCGGATCACCAACAGGCGACTCGGTAGACACCGATCGATCGAACGGTTGACCGAAAAGTCAACTTTTCAACAATAAGGAATTTGACTTCAAGATGTGAATCAAAAATTTTCCTTATGTCATATTACACCTCCCCATAAAATTTCATGACCATTGGATCAAGGGTTAAGAAGTAATTGCGAAAATTGAGAATTAGGGTTTCAAAAGGGGCCAAACCATAACTCCTCAACCACACATCCAATTGAAGTGGTTCAAAGCTCATTAGAAAGCTCTTGACAAATACTACAAAAGCCTCAAAGTGGTCCATGATAAAAAAATTCATAGAATTGGAGTTATAGCAAAATTCATTTTTGAAGGGGAAATAACAGAAAATTTCTAAGTTATTTAGCACTTATAAGTAGTTTTTTCAGAAACTTTGAAGGGTTTTTCAACCTAGTTCCATCAAGAATTTGGAAATTCCCAAAACATTAAAGTTGTAGAGATACTTAAGGGCTTTCCAAATTATGGTAGAGCTCCTCAATAGCATGTTTGAGCAGGAAGTTATACACGATAGAAGTTGGGCCTGTCACACTTGGAACCACTTTGTCAAAATTTCTCAAAACTGATATTTCACAACTTGAGTCATTCTCCACCCTGGGATTATGTTACAAACTGATAATATGAGGTATGGATAAAGAGAAAACCATAAGGGAAGTTGGTTTGATGAGCATTGCAAGTTGATGGTAAGTAGACATTATTTTATTCAAATAATAGGAAGAAAGAGAAACTTTTCCAAGACATGTGGCAGCAGTAGTCTCCTACTTCTCTAGCATCATCTCAGGTCACCTCACCCCCCTCATATCAGCTGGTTTTTCCTGCATTGAGCCATGGAGTTGATGTAAAGAGGCTGCCACTAGATTTGGCAAGATTTTCTTCACAAATCTCCCTCCAAAAGTGGTAAATGACCAAGGCTGCCCTCACTCTTGCTTGGCTATAAATAGAGGCCTCCTCTATGAGTTCAAACACACCAGAGCAATCTCAGAAAACCATAGCTCTCATTCTCCTCTCATTCATCAAGAATTCCAAAATCTTCAAAACCTCCATTTTCACCAAAAAAAAACTGTCTTGAGCAAAACTCTGCTCAAGACCAGTTCCATCCCTTCCAAACCTCTAAAAAGAATCCACACAAACCCTAAATATAATATAGAAGGTTTCTATACCTTCAAACCTCTTAAAAACATCATTTTGCAAAAAGTCAACTTTCACACTAAGAAAGTTTGACCACCACCCTCAAAACTTGTCAAATCTTGGTCTAGG